AGACCTTCTCTTCCACCTTCTAAACAAGCTAACAAGAATCTAATTTTGAAGGCTATCTCTGAAGCTCAAGAGTCTGTAACAAAAACAACTAACTATTCTGCAGTTCCACAGAAACAGACACCTATTCTGCAGGTAATTTCAATGTAGTATGTTTTTCCGGGTAAGAGATGGCTTCATTGAACTGAGTATGCTTATCTTGATGTGTGAAGTAAAGAATCCTGCTAGCTGCAAAGACCAGAATGAACTTCTAGAAGAATGGGTTTAAAAGATTTCAGCACTTTTTTCAGATGAAAAACTCTCATCGGAGTTCCTTGAGCAGAGTAAACTGATTCTCATATGCATAAAATAATACTCATGAATTATAAAGGGAATTATGAAAAATGTGTGACATTCATATTAGTTTTTTTAGTTCAATATTATGTATGTACTTATGTAGAAAAGAACACAGTTGGGTAATAACAAGTTGCTGAAGCTAGAGAAATTTTGTATTTAGTTTTTGGCCATGCAGCAGATTGAACTCATATGCTTGGAAAGTCCTGTTCCACTGAACCACATCCCCAGACCAAAGCAAGAAATTTGTTTAAAACTATTATATGTATAGACCAGTCTCTTTTCCCTTGATGGAACTTGGTAATAGACTGTAAGGCAGAGAATTGTTACATTCTTACCCTAATTAGAATTGAAGCTCTAAAATCATTTGATGTCAGATATTGAGGTGTGAAGTTTTTAATAACAAAACTTTCTTACAAGAAAACTTACTCTAAAATGCAAGTGGTGGTGAGTTCTGTCCTGCTGTGCATTCTGGACTTGTTCACCTGGAGCTAGTGGAAACTTTTGTGGGACTAAGCTGATAGCAATTGCCAGCTCTGAAATTCAAGTTTTTATATGAATTTGATAGACGCGTTTATAGCATTCTTCTACTTGCCCTTTGTCACATGACCCTTTTTTGAAGCAAAGTAAACAGTTCTTGGTACTGACCTACCTTCTGCTTCTCCTCATCCCTACTTAACCTTGAGCATACAACATGAAGTAGAAATCGGGATGATCAGGTGAAGGCCAACACCTGCTCTAACGGTTTGCCTTTACAAAAATTCACTCTTCTAATACAGCAATGATAATTGCTTAGAGTAAGAATTTAAAGCATTTCCATGACCTTGAAATTCCTTGCTTTTACCCTTTATTTTTCATGTTTATGAGTGTTTTGCTTGCATAGAGTCCAGAAAAGAACATTGGATCCCCTAGAATTAGTTACTGATGGTTGTGAGCTACCATGTGGGTGCTGGGAATCAAACCCTAGTCCTCCTCTGAAAGAGCAGCTGTTACAGAATTAATATGCCTTCCCACTGAGAAACCATTCCAAATACCCAGAGATTAATAAAGGAAATCTTTATTGGTTCTGGCTAATGCACAAAAGGGTACCAGCCATAAATAGAACATTTTACCAGCTTTATAGCTATGCCTTAGGCTTATGTACTGCCATCCTGAAATCTCATCAGGTCCCTCCAAGTCACACTTAGAACAATTTAGACAGGAGACTATGAGTCTGGCCATTTGGACAAATAGGACATTTACACAGCAAAAACATTGTCACAGTTACTTAGGTACACCAGTGTTGTGTGTGTCCCATTCCCCTGTACTACTTACTGAGGGTCGTCCTTCCCCATGACAGAATTAAGCTTTTCCTGGAAAGAGAACTAGGACTTGATGGCAGACTGGAACTTGATGAGGACTGTCACTCATTACTCAGTGCTTTCCTGTTAGAACTGCCTTTAGAGACCTGTTCTCTGAGATGGGATGGGCCTAAGCACAGGTTGTAAAGTAAGACTTGTTTCTTTTGTTTTGGAAATAGACTTGCAGCATATTAGTGAACAAATCTTTTTTGGGGAAGTTGTTTTTGTTTGTTTTGTTTGAAACAGATTCTTACTGTTTAGCTCTGACTGTCCTAGAACTCACTATGTAGACCAATCTGGCCTGGAACTCAACAGTGATCTGCCTGTCTCTGCCTCCCAAGTGCTGGGATTAAGGCTATGTGCCACCACATCAGGTGCTTAGTGAACAAATTGTAGCAGAAACATTTTCTCAGCAAACCTAAATTTTCATTATGTTCCAGGAGTACAATCGTCCTTTCTGCAGTTTCTAACAAGTTTGGTTACTACTGAGTTTTGAGTTATGTTGGTGGCACTGCTCCTTGAGCTCCTTTGTGCAACTTACTTCCCAAGCAAGTTTAGTTTATAACATCCGTTTATGCTGACCAGTTTCTCCTAGACCACAGCCGGCGCTCTTGACAGTGTCTCTCCAGTATTGGGCTATCGAGATGGCTCGGCAGTTGAGAGCACTGGAGTTGAGAGGACCTGAGTTCAGTCCCAGGACCTGTTTGGTTGCTCAGAACCATCCATAATTCCAGTTCCCAGGGATCCAACACTCTCTTCTGACCTCCACAGGCACCATACCTGTGCTCATGGGTACACATACATATTCGTGGGCAAAACACAAAAAATTCTAAAGAAAATTGAAAAAGTAGCTGGAGAGTCCCACATTTCAAGAACTAACATTAAACTTGATTGTACATACCTGTAATCCTAGCACTGGGGAAATAGAGGCAAGAGATTAAGGTTATTTTCAACTTAATAGTGAATTTGAGACCAGCCTGGTCTACAGTGAGACCTTGTCACAAAAGAATTTTTAAAAAATAGCATTGAAACATTCTTTATTTGCCTGTTTATGTTATGGTCTGAAATCACTGTAAGAGCATATCACTGCATCTGGTTTAAAATGACTACGTACATTTTAAATTGTATCATGACATAGTTTTTGTTGGTTTGTTTTGGGTTTTTGAAACCAGCTTTCACGGTGTAGTCCAGTCTTGTCCAGAACTCATTGCAGTCCCATTGCCTCAACCTCCTGAGTGCTGACATTCAAGCTTTAGATGTTGCTTGTGTACAAGTAAAGCAAGGAAGTCAAATGTCTTTCCTGGGAAGAGTATAAGAAAAACTGTAGTGTTTTTTTTGTTGTTTTGTTTTGGTTTTGAACAAAAAACACCATAACTATTCTGAACCCGAAAGATTGCATTTGTATTTAATATGTGTTGTTTTGTTTTGAACACTGGCTATTCTGAACCCAAGGGTGGCATTTGTATTTAATACGTGTTGTTAACTGTGAAGTTCTGAAGGAGTAACTGTGCTTGTATTGTTTTGCTTCTTTTGCTTTTTATGTGAAGTTCCACAGAAACAGACACTTCCAGTTGCTCCCAGGACTCGAACTTCTCAAGAAGAATTGCTAGCAGAAATGGTCCAGGGGCAAAGCAGGGCCCCCAGAATAAGTCCCCCTGTTAAAGAAGAGGAAGCAAAAGGAGATGGTACAGAAAAACTTCAAGGTGAGAGTTAACCATTTATCACTTGCACTTTATCTGTGGGATACTAAGTATTTTCAAATAAGTTTTTGTGGAATGTTAAACTATGAAGAAAGTAATGAAGTGGGTACACAAAGAATGAGATCTTGTAGAGAACTCGATACTTTTCAGAAACTTTAAAATTTTTATGATGGAAAACGTAATGTTCTCGAAAGTAGAGAGGTTGTTAGTGAACTGCCTTGACTGTATCCCCAGCCTTAGTCATTAAAGACTTTGCTCAGGGTTAGAGTAGTCCTACATAAAGATGCATTTATTTCTATGTTCCACCTTTTTTGTTTAGTTTTATTTATTTAATGAATGTGTGAGTGTGTGGACATGCATGTAAAGGTCAGATTACATCCTGTTGGGTGGTTTTTCTCTGTCCACCCTGTGGGTTCTGGCGCTCCAACTCTAGTTCCCTGGTTTGGCACCATTGCCTTTACCTGCTGAACCGTCTGTCTCACTAGTGTTTCTTTACGTCTGTTTGTTGTCCCTATTCCTGTTCCTCCAACTTAAACTCTGATGTGTCCTTGAAATTGTCCCTCCTGGCATCTTGTCGTGGTCTTTTCCTATTGTCCTGGTGGCCCTGGTTTGCCCTGGTGCCTGACACATTGGAAGCAGCAGCTTCCAGCTGGTTGCTGACCGCCTCTGTTTGTGTTTATTTACGCCCTCCCCTGCTTTTTCTCACCTCTTCTTTCCACCCCAGCCTCTGCAGGTCAAAGTGCAACTCTGTCATGTGACTGTGAGTCTCCTCACTGTCCCATCCTTCTTGCCCAGTACTGATGCCATCATTGGATCTTAGACAGCTGTGTTAATGATCTTTTGGATGTGCTTGCTTCTCTGCTTCTTCTGTACTTATGTTTTCCATTTATACCAGGAGAGACTGAAGTTTCTTGTTTGTTTTATTACTTTTTCTATTAAGATCGGAAGTCAGAATCTATAGGTTTCTCCCCACCCCCTCAGAAATAAATCTGTTGTTTTGTGGTATTTTTAATTTACTTTTTTCTGATCATCGAGCCCCACTCCCATCCTACCCTCCTCGCCTTAGGTGTCTGATATGTTAAGAACATAGTTTTGTATTCCTTCTGAACTATTCTAAGAATTGTTCCAGGTTCTGTGAAATCTTTTTCCATGCATTATCACTCAATTCTTTTTGTTTCTTCGCTTAGTCCCCATTCAATTCTGGAAAGGTCAAAATGATTTTTAAAGTATCTAGGTACTGTGCTAGCAGAGAAAGCTATTGCTAGACGTATGTCAAAGGTATTCTGGAACTAGCATCTTAGGAGTTCCTGTTGGCCAAAGATAAAACCATTTCATCTTCATAAGGGTGACAGTTGCCTTAAAATGGGCTCTTTCAAATCCATTCCTAGGCACAAGTCTGCTCCCAAACACACACATACGCACGCACGCACGCACGCACAAAAAAAAAAAAAAACCCAAAGAGAAACTAATTGGTTGGCTGAAGGATACGTTTACATTGTCTTAAAAAACATGAATAAAATAATCGAGCATTTATATTGTTTTTCCTATAATTTTCACTGGTAACCAAATAATAGTCATTGGTACTGTTTTTATAAATAAATTTCATTGAAACCAGTTGTACCAATTTATGAATGGAAATTCAGGAAATGATTGGCCTCTTGTACTACTATATGAGTTGAGTAGTTGCAGTAGATTGGATTTTTTTGTAGACTAAAACTAAAAGTGTTTGCCTACGCCTGATACAAGAAATGAGGGAAGTTGGGGCTGGAGAGATTGCTTGGTTCAGAACACTGACTGCTCTTTCAGAGGACCCAGATTCAATTCCCAGCACCTACATGGTTGCTTACAACCGTCTGTAACTCCAGTCCCAGGTGGTCCACTGCCCTCTTCTCACCTCTGCAGGTACTTGGACATGGTGCACATACATGCAGGCAAGACACCCATACACATAAAATAAAAACTCTTAAAAAATTGTCAGAAGAGCAAAGAAGTGAGGAGAGCCTCTATGCTACAGTCATTTCAGTGAGTGAGTGAGAGCAGTGGGTGGGATTGGAGGAAGAGTTAGTGCCATTGTCTCTGAAGTTTTATGCTTTCTGAGAAGAAACTTAATTTTTGCCAAAGGATTTGAACCAAGTCATCAAACCTCTGGTCCCATAATCAACTTAGAAGGTACAGAGGCCAGAAGAATTTATCAGTTGAGCTTCATGTTGTGTTTGCAACAGGAAAAATTATAGTCAGGAAATAGTATATAGTTCGTATGACCTGAGAATTTATTTGAAAACAACAGAGACAAAATTAAAGCCGTAAGATTTAGAGATGCACACTATTGTGTAAAACCAGAGAACCTGATTAGATGAAGTGCACAAACCAGCTGGTAGTGAGGTGTTTTTTGGGCTTATGTTCGTTTTGAGGTGTGTGTGTGTGTGTGTGTGTGTGTGTGTGTGTGTGTGTGTGTGTGTG